CCTCGCGAGAATGGCGTTTTACCGCGGTTCCCATTCATAGGTTAGATTCTCACTGCAAGCACTTTGCAGATTTGATGTCTTTCTTCCCACCAGACAAGCTCACAAAGGCTCCGCCGCGAACAAAAATCGTGTGATACGTGAGGCGCTAGATACACCTGGCATTGAAATTTGGCGCCGTGGCCTTTGGCAAATCACCCGCAGCAGGTCACGTAAGAAAGCTATTCAAACCCAGTGATACGCAGATTAAAAAGTTTAGAGGGATGATCACATTAGAAAAATACTTAAGATGCGATTGCTGTTCATCACGTTTGGTCAAGGTGTTGCCGTTTCAGCACAACCAACTGCGCCTAGACAGGTCGGCGTATGCCAGGGCAACCAATTTGCATAAGGCATTCATTAGGCCTGTCCTATCCAAGCTGAAGTTTAGTGTCTAAAACCCGCGGGTTCATAGAAGACAACTAAGGGAGTAAATAAAAAAAAACAAAGGCTCTTGGATGCCGTTGCAAAACACCAAGGCACTTACAGTAAAGTAATCCCACAACTGAGCAACTCGGTTGGCAGCACTCTGTGTGGCACTGGATAGGCCCCGCCAAATTCGGCTCATCAAACCAGTATCTATACAGAGATTTTTGCAGAGAGCATGAGATTAGTGGTTTAGTGGACAATTTGTACGGAGATTTACATTAAAGGATACGACATTTCGAATTATCACCCATGCCATAAACAAATGAATTATACGACTATCATTGTTTCGAGTACACAGAATATTGCGAACGAAAATTCACCCTGATCAAATAAGCACAATCACATCAAACAACCATGCAAACCCAGAGTTTTACTTTTTTCAATTTTCTATCACATTTTATCCCCTGCCAAATAGATGCATTTGAAAATTCGATAATTTGTAAGTGATACAATAAGGTGAATGTTGGAAAATCCATTCAGTGAGAATGTGATGGCTTGTGGCCCGCCGTTGGGTGGCCTTTGAGAGTTCCAGTTTATTGATATGCTATACAATATCCCCATACTTGTGAGTTCGAAGTAGCAATGGTGCCAAACCTAACCCAATAAACAGCATGGAAAAAGTGCAAGGCATTGCTTGCGTATCAATATTTATCGGCTGGTTTCCAAGTCACTACTCAAAGTTACAGGCAAATTGCATAGCCAACTATTTTGGTTCTTCAAATATCTCAGCATCAGTTCGGAAGTTACAACCGAACAGTCTTTGAGTCGCCCAGGACAAACTAAAGCTGATTAGAATCAAGCCGCTGTGTGATGTGCGCGTACAACGCTTCGCTCTCATCAAGGCTTAGCCCTGAGCACTAAGAGGCATTAGTGATGGTAGTGAACCAGCAGGTTAGTTTTACGTGCGCAAGCTAATGCAGTCTTACCTTGATTTCAGCCCCCCTCAAAGCGCTATTCACAAGGAGTAGTAAGCAACGCTGCTACGAAAGGCTGGCCATTGGACGAGTGCGGGCAAAAACACCATTGCATCTTAGAGCAGTGCAAGCACCAATTATTTTAGCACATTCTACCTCAAGAAAATCTCCCAGAATTGGTTATATTTTTGGGCCGTTCTTGACCAAAACTTGAGTTTAGTGATAGTTTCCATGAACGTGAGCGTTCTTCATTGTGATTCTATGTCAGTCGCCATCACGTATGACTGTTTGAGTGAGTAGCGGATTCGTCCCGTAGTCTTGAATAATGGGGACTTCTGGACTGTTTTTGACCCTTCAAGGAAAGGGATTAGAAAAATAAGTTGCAATTTTAACTTACAAAATTTGTTTGACTAATGCTCGAAATGTCCCCTATAATATGTCAATGCAGATAATTACGACTTCATCCTGTCTGGCGTTACGGAGGACGCCGTTTATTTTACTCCCACTGTTGTAAGGACTCACTGGTGCAACTGGATTTATAATTGAATATGAAGATTTGTGAATGCCACGCTTAACGATTTTTCGTCACACGAGAAGGGATGTTTCACTTCCGGGGACTTCCCGTTGGGGATATCAATTTTTCAAAAAAAAAACGCTTACCACATGGGTTTGATCACCCTTGTAAAAGATACTTCCAAATTGTCGAGCCCAAACTACTCTACGTAGACACTGATGAACCACTGGATTGATTGTCGAGCCTGCCGGATAATTTCACGGTTATGTATAACTCTTGTATTGTTTCAAAATTAGTCGCCCAGAAACGCTTTTGTTGCTTGATTATAACACAAGTAACATGGTCATGAGAAAATGGTTAGGACGTACTTGACGGTTCATCCCTGCACACTGCAAAGAGGCATGAAATATACCCTTATGAGTAACCGAGGTAAGTTTAAGCCATCAATATCCCCTTTTACACACGTTTAGGTTAGGTGGTTTTCGGCCAAAGCTCACATTCAGAGGAATCGTTGTAGCAAGGACTCGAGTGTTAAGTCAACGAAAGTTTCGGATCAAATCGCGTTGCTTAATTATCAACCACCACTGATGTTTTTCTGAACATGCGTTGGTCACATTGTGTCCCATCCCATTCTATTCTAGATGGGATCCACTACTGTTGCCCATCGACTGATGGATTCTGCCACTGAACAAATGTCTGGCCTCGCGTCGATCCCACCAAGAAACAACGATTACGTAATTTGGTGTTTCAGAGACATCGTTTCCTTCGTCCTTCATAAACCCAATGTGACATACTAAGGGCCAGCAACATAAGGGGAAATTGAATTGATTGTCAACATGTCTTAAGAACACTAATGTACGGAAGCATGATCAGACTCCGAGGGCTAAAAGATGACTCCTGTTGGTGATGGTAAGTTTCGTTTGCACAGTTTTGCAAAATAGGCTAATCTGGGAGAACTGGCGTTTAATGATGTCACTCATCACGCTATGTTGTTGCATACTGTAACACGGTTTCTTCATTGTCAACATAATGTTGTTTACTACTTTGAAATTTTCGGTTATGCTTTGGTACCAAAAATAGTCATATAGCTAATGGAGGATTGTTGACATAAAAGTAGAAATTGCTAGAGCATTATCGTCATGCCTGAAGTGATCAAAACGAAGAGAAGGCAATTATGGTTGAAAGGTTCAAAGGCGGCCGGAAGGAAACAACTTGCCAAAACTCTTAATTGAAAGGTGCATCCGAAACATAAGAATTTGCCTGTAATGTATTGCTTCAGGTGGGTGCTTTGAGCACTTGGTGTTAACAGTTGCCAAAAGACCTGTGCAGTACAGGAACACTGAAATCTGTTCGTTTGTTCCTGCAACTTGGCTCCCTTTGTCTCGACATCAGAATAAAGACCCATTGAGTTTCACGCAGTTGTACACCGCTGATTTAACAGAAGAAAACCCGTCCCAATGATGTAGCCATATTAACACCTCTCACCTCTAATCTGCTGAGAGCTCAGAATTTGTTGGAGTATAGAAGCGAAACTGTGCACAAACTCTTCCAAATGTATACGCACCCAACTTTGGACGTTAGGTTCTTTTTTGCAAAGCACGTCGGATCCTACGTTCCAAGCGTACGGAGCATAAAATTAGTCCAGAGAGTTCTGAAGGTACAGCATCATAAGAATAATGTGCGCTAGGTTCTGCAGTTGGAAACTTAAGTGAAGTTGAAGACTGATACTGATTCTGGGAGTATGGAGTTATTTTCGCGGCGTCTAGCCATACCGATGAGGTCAATCAGCCTTGGCTTGATATGCTCAGACAAACGGAGCTATTGTATTACAGCTACAAACTCGTTCGACTGACATCTAATTAAATCCTTCCTGATCATCCAGCTGGCAAAAAAAATAGGATTTAGGTGTTCTGTGGAAAATGATTTTCCTTGATCCGTCAATTTCCAACACAAGGAAATATAACGCAGATGACAAATCGCTAGATCTTGCATTATCTGTACCCGAAACGGTAGTTGTAATTTAACAAGGGATTTGAGTATCCACAACGGACTACTACAGAACCAATCAGGTAAATTCATAATTCTTCCGAGGTAACACACTTCTGGTACGCAACTTTTACATACACCCCCACCGAATAAAGCACAAAGACTAAGATTTTGCTGGATTGCCCAAGCTCAGGTACGAGGTGCTTGGATTGCCTAACAACTTCGGACAGCCCCCTTAAGCATCTCATTTCTGATAATACTGCACGATTCAACAGTGTAATTTCCGAGGGGGGCATATTGGCTGTGGTGAATAGTCGGTTCTTGGTCAATTTAAATAATTTAAGATCCCTCCAACCCTCTATACTAAGCCAGGTAAACGCATGATAATTAGCGCAACTATTCATCCTAATACAACTCGTTCACAGTGTTTTCTACGAAACCAGTAAACTTCTACAACTAACACAATGGGTTCAGCAGATTCGGAGCACTTTAACCGTCTCCTCACCGGAAAGTCTCGATCGATAATCCATTTAATTTGCACAAAAAACATCCAGGAAATAAGTGATTCTCCCTTTGAGCAGTCAGATCGTTTATTCGAGAAAAGTGTCGGCCGATAAGCTATAATAATCCAGGTGTACCGAATGCGTTTTTGAGGGACAATAGTAGCCAGCTTGCATAAAACTTTTAATGCTCGGAATTCAACTCCCTGCACATTATGCGTGACCCGCGCGGACAAAACCCATTTTCGGTTTCCTGCTCCCTAAATTGGACACAACCAATGCGTTACGCTCAGAGAGAAGCAAGACTGAATGACCATAAGCGAAGTGAATGCAATGGACCAGGGAGTATAATTTGTGCAAATCAATTAACAGTTCGCCATCGTTTACTTTGCGGTTAAATCTGTTGCGCTTGATTAGATTTGTCATTGTGGTAAATTAGATGTTTGATTCTGGTAAGCCTTATTTTCAGAAGTCGCCGAAGGACTGGACTTTTTTAATGCTGCTGCAACCAGGAATATGAAAAAACTACTCGTATTCAAAAGGGGGGAGGAAATTCCGGGAAGAATTACTAGAAAAATACTAGAAAACTGTATGGTATCAAAAACCGTTATTCATCTTACCAGCCTCATAGGTTGCATAAAAACCTCGAAATTCTCGCGTGTTATCCGTTAGCATTTTGATTGTTAAGCTGTTTCCTGTCGAGACTCGTGGCGACGGTAGTCGTGTTCCAGTCCATGTGTCCATCAGGTTCTCATTGGTTGCAGGTCCGTCGTATACATGAACAAAATCTTTGTCTGATTCGAGCTGAAACGATCGAAAACAGCAGCCAGTTGAGAATACTCTAAATTACAGTCGCTGTTAATTACGGCAAACGGGCTTGCAAATATTATCCAGCATACACACACGCCCCAAATGTAACCCGCCAGAGATTCAAAAGCTAAAACAGTCGTGGCATGCACACATAATGTTATTCGACGATGGGAAAAATCAATCCCTTTGCGTGCAATTCTTGTTTTATTCTCTTAACAAATACGAGTCATTGCTCAAATTACACGGAAATTTATGTAAATGTGCGCTACGACTCATTGGAAACTCATTCATAATCGTTTCGTGCATTTTCCTGGACCTTGCATATAGAGGTAGCAAAATGAGGAAGCAGTTTTTTCTGTAAATCCAAATTACCAATAATTTTCTTTGCTGCAAGATAAGCAGTTTTCTTAGTACCACAGTAATGAAACTAAAAGGTGGTCAGGCGTAAACCGTGCGACAAAATATACCCCTCATTAGAATGGAGGAGCCCAAGATTTCATTGAGGGAGACACAAATGTTTTCGCCTGAGTGATTTTGCGGAGGCCTGTGTGCGGAAATATGGTGCGACTGCTAGGGATGTATTTTAATCGAACAGATTTTTCCGTGATTATTGTTGGCCAGCAAATGTAGAATCAAAATGATGGCGGTATCTTATATTAAATATATATAACATGTTCAAGGCTACCTTTATCATAAAGAAATGCACGATTCTCACGTTGCTTCGAGTTATTCAAGAGCAGCCCACGTGCTTTGAAGCGAGGATGTCCTGGAATGAGACAGAGACGTGCCGTCCCAAATTGACGCGCAAACTTAAAATGTGGCCATTTCGCGTCCGATTCCAGGAGAATTTAAAAGTGGGTCAGAATTGAATACGCAAGAACCGATTCCAGCAAAAATACAATTATCGTACGCACTGTGTTACGACCATTATAATCAAAGCATTTTTATTGGCTTGCTGTACCGTGTGCGAACTTTGAAATCCTTGCGCGACTGCTCGCCGGCAATATATTTTCGCCAACAAAGATTGCGTTTCATAAGGAGGGGCATTCGGGTCATTTAACAGCATACTTATTTTCGAAAAATATGGCTCCATTTCTTACTTGCTGCGAACCCGATTTCGGTGATCAAAACATTGGTGGTGAAGCACGAATAAGGTACAAGATGAGGAACAAATCATTCTGGTGAGTTCCACTTTAATTCTTTACCCAGAAAATCAGAGCACCTAAGTGCAACAGCAAGATAGTCGTGCACCGTTCCCATAAGCGGATAAAATCACTCGAAAAACACAAACGTCCACAGAGAATGTTGGCAGTAAAAAGTTATGGTGTCTAGAAATTATGTTTTGCTCCCGGTATTATTGGTACTTCGTAAGCTGCATGAACGTTTTTTTGTTCGAATAACAAAATCTACAAGAACCCGCTTTTGTCGGGTGCTTCGACCTTCTTTTCCGTATTGTATATGGATGGTGTGCAAAAAAATAATAGCCAAACTGGCTATTATTTATTCACTGCCCATCCCAATAACAAAATTTGTTTGAGAATAGTTCTTAGTGAGTTTATTTCATTTGACTTATTTGTTATTGCATGCTCAACATAGCGCCAGTATTTCTACTTCTTTCCCACACACTGCTGCTAAGTTTGCTTTTTGAATATTTTTGTATACCTGAAAATGTGGGCTACTCAACGTGAATAAATATCAGTTCTTTAGAGTAAACCATTTCCAAGACTTCGACATGTCACATTCGTGCCACTTGCCAGTTGGCTTGAAGAAAATTGTCGCCCATGATTGCAGTATTCTGGTTAAGTTTCACAACTGTTAATCGAGAACTTTAAGCGAACCCATGTTCATCCGTTACTCACTTTATTTGTGTACGCTGGCGATCACGGATAACCTGATGATGATTTAGCCTGCTGGTAACCGATAATGAAGAAACAGTGATGTGCCGCTTCAGCTACATCAACCGACTGTGCTGGAGACTAAAACTGGGAAATTCAAAAAGAAAATTCGGCATACCTGAAAGTCTTCGAACCGCAACCGAACGACACAACCTCGAGGTTGGGAAATGGTCCACGTATAGTTCAGGTTGGCCGGGTAGTAATTCGGGTAACTTGGCGAAGCGATGCTGTCTGTTGCATTTTCAATTTCTGTGATGCACACTGCTCTCGTTTCCCCCCTAAATGGATGATAGACTTCAAATGCAAACACATGTAAAAGCGAGTGGTCAGCTTCCTGGCGTTGATTTATTTGGGTGTTTCTTAAATTATTTTGTTATTTACAAAACAGATCTTTCAAAAGACAGGCAAAGTGACCTTGTTTGCAATTTAGTTTGGTGTTCCTTGTCAACCAGATTTAAAACCAGGTGAACCGCCCTTGCAAGGCAAATCACAATGCCGGTTATGGTCTTACAATTATCAACCGGCTGTTTCGTAAATATTACATCTAAGTAAGTAGCAAATAAGTATAAATTAAGAATACAAACCATGACATCTCAAATATCGTGGCACGTGAAAAACGGGGGGAAAATTGTATCGATTTCCTAGGCACCTCAAAAGAAGAAACAAATTTAATTTACCTGAGCCTCTTCAACCAGCATAATTTTATCAGAACATTATGTATCGACTTGATTGATTCACCATCGGAATGAATTACTAACACGTGGAATGATAAATTGAAGCTTGCATACTATCTTGCAAAGCGACTTGCAATAACCACAGCTGTTGCGTGCATCTGAAACCTTGGATAGGCAAACACGCGCATGACGTACCTTCAATTGGACAATCTAAAATAAAAGTGACGTGAGAAATCAATGACATACCATGACACCTGAAAATCAGCACTCTTGACAAAAGCATTCATTAAGGAGATAGACGAAACGCTTGGCATTAAGTTCTTTGGGGGATTTACCATCAGTTATCTGCAATGCACATTTAATTGAAATAACTCTCCAATTCGTAGTGTTTTTAAGAACCAAATGATGTTTTTTCCGAATGAATGAGTTTTAACCTACCTATTGTGTCTGATAACACCGTGTTTACGCTGAAACGCTTCCTTTGGAAAATGAATCCAAATCGATTTTTTAATCTTACTGTCACGAAGCGACTGGGCCTTACAGTGGTGTGACAGTTTGCGCACCTCAGCGATTCATTGAGCTTTACTGGAGTGTGTCATGTGACACTCAGAGTTTCTCATACCAGGTTGGTCAATGCTTAGAGTTCTGACGGACACAGTCTCCTGGCCCTCCAGGTTGGGGATTGGAACATGTGGCGACTTGTTCCGTAGAAGTGATGACTCATCTTCATTTCCCGCAAAACACCGCTGTTTTGTGGTTAGGCTTTTAAGCCAAAGGCTTTGGTTGACGACCCTAATTGTCCTCTTGTCTAGGTGTGGGCGCCCTGACAGTTTCCCAGCCCATGTACAACCATGAATTGCAAGTACACAAATAAACTCATGTCGTCGCGTGGAACCATCAGCCGGGTCACATTACGTGCTGCATACAGCTGGGCGGATAAGCGAAAACAGGCTTTTAACTCCTTCACATACTTTCTCTTATCCCCCCCACCCCACTAATAACTCTCTCCTTGTAGGCCCAGCACTTGGGACTGATGACACCGTTCGTAATGCATTGGTTTAGCGTGCAGCATCTGCTCTTCACACGGTGCCGACACCTTCAGGAATCTTCAAATCAGTTCTCAAGCCTCAAGACCCGGTATATATGACCGCGTTTAATATCCGCACTCTGGAGCAAGCAGAACAACAACCTGCTCTGACACCCACACTAGACTCGCTTGGCACTGAGGTTTGCTCTGTCTCAGAAACAAGAATTCAAGATGTATGCACAGTGATTGAGCCAAACGCACCGTCAGTCACTACTCTCTTCCGGCTGCGCACCTCTGGTGATCCAGAGGCTGCTGCGGTGGGATGTACGGGGGTTTGTATTGTGCTAAGTCACCGGACGGAAGTATCCTTACTTGACTGGATACCTGTTGATAGTCGCCTCTGTGCGGTTCATCTGGCACCGTCTGTGAAGGAGTCCCACAAGCGGCAAGTTGATAGGTGTCTGTTTATCGTGTCTGCCTATGCCCCAACTGATTATAGCTCTGACACCGTCAAAGACGGGTTTTACGACGCCCTGAATGCTCTGCTGTGGCGGGCTAAAAGCTCAGACATTTTGGTGGTTGCCAGAGATATGAATGCGCATTTGGATAGGCTTTGTGCATATGAGACCCGATTGGGAGTTCAACGTGGACTGGACTTGGTAAGTACGAAAAATGGGGAACAACTGCTTCAGCTGTGTGCTAATCGCAGGCCGTTTTTATGCAATAAGAACTTCCAAAATAGCCGTCGTCTTTTGGCCGATTGGTGTTCTCCAACAACAGGCCGGCCACAAACTCAAATGCTACACCATCAGATGTGAACTCATACTGGGACGAGATTGCCACCTCTTTGCATAGTGCTGGGAATTTCGCCTGTGGCACGACCCAACCAGGCGCACTCAAGCACTGGATATCAGACCGAAAGGTGGCACTACTTAAATCTCGAAGAAATATCCCAGCCGGTTCCGAGCATATCACGAGGCTAAAAGCCATCAAATGCCATGTGTAAGTTAGTTTGCGATCCGACCGTGAAGCATGGTGGACGAAGAAAGGCAAAGAAATGGGAGAGGCTCGGATAGCAGGTAATGCCCGGAGATTATTTCAGTTGATCCGTGCGATCGGTCCCCAGAAAGCACCTGTGAGTGAAAGCGTCAAGCATCAGAATAGAACGAACATCTCGAATAAGAAGGAAAGTCTTGACCGGTGGGCTGAATACTCTGAACATCAAATGACTTGGACAACAGCCGGCACTCATCTACAGCCCACAGGTGAAATAGAACCCTGGACGGTGAACGTGGAACCACCTACGGCCTCGGAGATTTAGGACTGCATATGTTCTCCCAAGCGCCACCAAGCGCCCGGTCCGGCTGACCTTTCACCCGCACTGTGCAAAGACGGGGTTAGCTAATCACTCGGCCCTTGTCCGATCTGCTTGCTTGCGTTTGGGAAAAGGAGTGTGCTCAGACAACTGGAGAGAATCGATGATAGTGCAGATTTCCAAAAATGGGCCACGTTGTGAGTGTGGTAACCAAAGGAGGATCAGCTTGACCCCGGTTTTAACGATACTGTTGGCGTCAAATATGCTTCGTCGCCTTACTGTGGCTCAGGAGATACTGCCTTCAGAACGCCAAGCGGGATTCCGGCCTGGTAAATGTAGTGTTGATCAAATCTTCACACTGCGTCAGGTGCTAGAACCGGGATGGGGACCGCGTGATCCTCACAGTGCCTGGTTTGAGACACTACAAGTTGTGGCTGCCAACCGATGTCAGTGGCGTTCTTGTTGTCAGTTTCTGTCCAGGTTGCCTGGATGAATGTCAGGAGGTGTAGGCACCTCAGAATGATTGTGCTAAGCTAGACCTACCCCCCCATCCATCTTTATTATTTTCTATAAATTGAAGCTCTCAAATAAGTCATGGTTGTAGTGCAGTGAAGCATCGATGTTGAACACCAATTTCACGCTGTCGATGATGATGATGATGATGATGATGATGTGTTCCTCTCATACTGAATGAGGGATCATTTTCAGAGTCTGTGGATTTCTTCAAAAGCCCCATCGGAATACTTGAACAGTGAATCTATCTGCTCCGCGGTCTTCCCGTCTCACAGACAATGGTACAGAGTTTTACCTGGTGCTAACACGACACAACATGACATCAGTATCAGTAAAGCAAAAGCCACTCGACCTGTGTTCCTCCACCAAACCTTGTTGTACACCTACGAAACGAACGCAGTTTCTACCAAATAACTGTACGGAACAAAGCCTATCTGTACTACATAATTGCGTGGCCATTTTTTCCTTAAAGCATAATCCAGACATAGGCCATCGACGCAAATCCCGCTGATTCGCTCTGCGTCGTCATCGGTAATGTCGTTAACGATTACGATTGCCAAGTTTTAGTGTTACAATTTGGGTATGAGGCCTGAAGCAGCTCTAATTCAACTTTGTGTCGGCCATATTGTTATGGAATTAGTAGAGTGAAACTCGCATTACATTTGCAGTATCGCAATAAAAATACGGTATACGCCGTCGGTGTTTAAATTACTGTGCAATTGGGCGTTCATAGGAAAAATGCATTGGCGTTCGAAACTTGGCAAAAATAGCAATATTTCCCTAAATTCAATGCTTTCATTTAAACGGCGCCCGTAGAATAGCGGCGCAAAATTTGCATGCGGTATATGAGTGTTTGTGGGAAAGTACAATATCCTCAAATCCATCATTTTTTGAGTTGTTGATGGATTTCTTTCTGAACATTAAATTATAAGATTGCGTGCATTTTTCGCCAAGTCGCTCATGTTTTTGAAAGCGCAAACTTCTTTCCTAGTGTACGGTGCCACGTTTTTGCTTCACTTTCGGTAGAGGCAGTAAACGCTTCCCTTCAACGGTCCATCTTCCCTTTTTCAATCTGCCCTAGGATTGGTTGCGCTTGCGTCTAGGCTGTGGATTTGTGTACTCGTTCTCAGGCCGTGTGTACTTCTTTCTTGTACTCGTTCAAAGGCGTAACATTCCGGCGACGAATTGTTGTGGTGTACTTATCATGGAGCCCGAAAACTTCAAGGTGTCGAACCAACAACGTCTTAAGTTCCCCGTAGTGCTTACACAGCTGAAGGTTCGCGCAACCAGTGCTTCATCTGCTACACCCTGTAACAAGTAAGCAGGGCGACAGCATTGCATGGCATAAAGGTGTTAAAATATGACCAAGATGCTTGCCTCATTTTTGAAACATAGTTCGGCCACTACAAGGATCTATTCTCAATCGACGCAGGACGACGGGTGGTAAGTCGGGCACTTGCTTTGCAGAGCAAGCCCAGCAGGGAAAGCTAGTACTGCAATTCGATTCTACCGCAAAACACATGCGGCAAATCAATCTATGACGAGGTGCAGACTTTCTCGAAGCAATCTTCTCGTTTCAACCCATGATACCGGTGTCTAAAGTTTGGTTACGAACAAGTCAGAGGAAATTTTGACGCATGTTGTCATCGAGCAAGTCCATCTAGCAACGTCCAAAGCTAATGCTGATACGTACGAACGGTAGTCCAAAATACCGCATGGTACCATTTCGGTCTAGGCAGGGAGTCAAGGTGGTTCCGTAGTGACATAGTCACCCACACACTTGACTGCCCGCCCACATTCACTCACTTGATCAAAAGACTTGTTTCATTTTTGTGCCCACAACCACGTCACATTAAGTTGACTCATCAGACACCCGTTGCCTGCACCGTCTAGTGAGCGTACCAGCCACCCACGTGCTGACGCGCCCTCGTACGCGCAAACGGCCTAAATACAGGGAAGCCGAACGCCGTGAGCGCACACAGTTTCGCGCGCGCGCAGGGAACAATGAGTCAGCTAAACACTCCAAGTCCACGGACAACTATAGAGTACGTGTAGCAGTCGTAGCGGGATGAAAACAGGTTCCCGCCGTCCGGACTTTCACCAAGGGACACTTGCATACGATAAGTTCCCTTATTTGACTAACTCCCATTTCGCACTGTATTTAATTTTATACGTGTTGCCACCCTCCAGCGTAAATCCTACTAAAAGCTTCTATTAGTGCATAAACCTGAGTTCTGTTATGGCTATCAACGAATGAGTACTAATCGTTCCGAAGTTCATGTGGCCATCCAGGCCTCTAAAATCTCTGGTTCTCCAATACGTGGCCCGATGTCTTCAGTTTCGATGCGATCTGGTATTATCAAATGAAGACAGTAACATGTCCAAAGGAAGTCCTCATCCGCGCACTGCGGATCTTGGACCTCATCAAACGG